TAACCATATTTTCTACTCTTGAATTTTGGTAACATTTCATTCTCATATGCAAATGTACACGCACCAGTTAAACATTAGGGTATGTTTAACATGGAGGTATTCTTTCTGTGAGACTATTCTCAATGTAGTTGTTTTTGCTGTTGATAATAATAAGGGTTTCTATTCTGCTGCCACTCTAAAGTGCTTAATTATCAGCATTCTTCCCCTTAAGGGAGCATAAATCTGTTATATTCTAAGCAAATTATTTCCATGGTTGGAGAAAATATCTACTTATAGTTGTCTGGTTAGGATATTTTTCCTTCCTCTTTTAAGTGATAGTTAGCATGTGTTAAAAGGTAGAGCTTAGCTATAGCATTTCTTTATGGATTAGAGATATGGTAGTATTTAAATATTAGGGTCTATAAGACATTGATTAAGATCATTTATAATGTTTCTCCTCTCTTTATATTTTACAAGGAGTGTCAAAGAGTGAAGGCCATGTGAACTTCCCCTTGGGTGGAGTAATGGTAAAGAACTTGAGTTGTGGGAGGCTGGATGTAAAGAACGAAAAAAATGTAGGGTCTTTTCCCTGAGAGCTGCCTTCCTGATTTTGTCATAATGTCTTCTTTAATTAAAAAAGGAGAAACCTATTAGAAGAATAGTTGTTTTCAGTTTATAGACAAAGTGATTTTGATATTAAATAATATTCCCGAAAAGTTAGATTTCCAAGCAGAGGGCCATTTTCCCCAAACATTCTTTCCTTTTATGGCATTTAAAGTGAGTGAATTCATAGGGGAATTGAAAGTTTAAGTATAAAGATTAAGTTGAGCTTTTAAAAGAGGGATTTGGAAATAGAGAAACCAGATGATTGTTCAAAAGTAAGGTGCAAAGAATGACATAAAGTTGGCTTTTAGTAGGACTTTAAAACATTAAAAATCAGGGAAAAAATTAAAAGAAATTAAAAACGTTAAAAATCAAACACATGGGAAGAAAAATTAATCACAGATGTAAAAATATTAAGATGGCAGAGGAGTTGTTTATAAGAGGTTGAAATTAAACACCTTTTTGTAATGGCATGGGGATGATTAGCGGAGCTTTCTTTCCCACCTAGTGGCAAATGCTGAAAAGGGGCAATTGGATGGATTACTGAATTCTTAGCATTAGAAGGACATTGACTTGGCAGATTTTAATACATTCTTATATATATTTTTGTTTTAAAAATACATTTTAAAATATGTTTTCATTTATTTTAGAGGAAGGGAAAGGGAGAGAGAGCTGGAAACATCAATGATGAGAGAGAATCATTGATTGGCTGCTTCCTGCACGCCCTCTATTGGAGATCAAGTCCCCACCCCAGGTATGTGCCCTGACTGGAATTGAACTGTGACCTTCTGGTTCATAGGTCAACACTCAACCCCTGAGCCATGCCGCCTGGCCTCTAAAGTAGTTTCTAGTCCTTAAATATAAAGACATTATTAGGTCAAAATGGGAGGAAAAAAATCAAGCCCTGTATAAAATAAAGAGGCTGGCCGTAGGCATTTTCATTCTAGAAGGTATGGAAAAAAATATACAAATTTCGTAGACAAAAAAGTATCTGACCCCAGAATTTTATGTCCAAGTAAGCTATAGTTTAAGTATATTGTTTAATTGACATATATTTCCAGACAGAAAAACCATGGCTGAAATTCCATAAATCAGCCTTGGGTGGGGGTGAGGGTGGAGGGGAAGGGGAGATAGAGAAGAGAGGTGACTCTGTTTAAACCACTGAATCAGAGATGAATTAAAAATGAAATGGATTAGTGAGTAGCATGGAATAAATTTAAATGTAGAACCAGCATTAAAATGTTATAAACTTCCTGGCTGGTGTTCCTCAGTGGTTGAGCATGAACCTATGAACCAGGAGGTCATGGTTTGGTTCCTGGTCAGGGCACATGCCCAGGTTGTGGGTTTGGCTTGCAAGCTCGATCCCTAGTTGGGGTGTGCAGGAGGCAGCTGGTCAATGATTCTCTCTCATCATTGAGGTTTCTTTCTACCTCTCCCTCTTCCTTCCTCTCTGAAATCAATAAAGGATATATTGAAAAAAAGAAAAAAGTTATAAACTATGGCAATGTAGAAATCATAATACAAGGAAAACTACTGCTTTGGGATGTGTGGTTTAGGAAATTTTTCTCATAACATGAGGTCAATCACAATAATGCTAAGTAGACTAATTTTCTTAGTGTGCAGTAAAAAAAATGTTATCTTAAGGACACAGACTAAATCTTCCAAGAAAATAGGCTATATAATGAAACATGTAATAAAAAGAATCAAGAGCTAAAAGCAATGCAAAAAATCCTTATATGATAAAAGGCTAATATGCAAATTGTCCCCTCGGGAGTTCGACCAACTGGGAGTTTGACCGCTCGCTGTGATGTGTGCTGACCACCAGGGGGCAGCGTGGAATGAAGGAAGGCCCCGATTGGCCCTGATCACTGGCCAGACCTACGGACCTTACCTGTGCACAATTTTGTGCACTGGGCCTCTAGTAAAATAATAAAATTAAGATGAAATATTTTCCAAATAAATAAATATAAAATTATAAATTGGATAAACCCATTTATTAAAAGAAAATGACACTCATATTAGAGCAAAAAAGTCAAACCAATTAAGAGATGTCATCTAAATGGGACCAGCAGATAATATTTTAGTACATAGTTTAGGCTTTTCAGTCATACAATCTCTGTTGCAACTGTTCAGTTCTACTGTTATATCATGAAAGCAGCTGTAGACAACATGTAAATGAATTAACAGGATAGTGTTCCAGTAAAACTTTATTTAAAAAAATAGTCCTTGGGCCAGATTTGTCCTGTAAGCCAGAGTTTTCTGACCCATGATTTAAAAACAGTGCCTCACAAAACTTTAAAGTAGAAGGATGGGTAAATACTTAACTGGCAAATTGAAACAACAACAAAAATGAGAGTTCAAATATTTTTGTCAGACAAGATTGAATTTAAGACAAAATTCATCACTTGAGTTGCATTTCCTAATGATAAAGAATGATAATCTAGTGGTTATGAATTTTATATTTCAAATAATACAGCTTTAAAATTTATAAAACAAAAAATACACAGAGAAACAGACAAATCATATCATAGTAGGGGTTTTGACTGATCTCTTTGAGCTCTTGATAGAGCAACCAGACAAAATGTGTAATAATATAGTGGATGTTAATACCATGATATATGGCATAACAGACAACATACCCTGGGTACAATGAATGTGCTTCTTCAAGAATCCTTATGAGGCCCCAAAGACAATCTCAGTCAAACAAAAAAACCCCAAATATATGCAGGTATGTTCCTTATTCTTAACTACAACTGAAACAAGGAAAACATAAAACTCTACCATCTAAAACTAAATAACTCTTGGGTCAAAGGAGAAATTAAAATATCAAATCCAGCCGAAACCGGTTTGGCTCAGTGGATAGAGCGTCGGCCTGCGGACTGAAGGGTCCCAGGTTCAATTCCGGTCAAGGGCATGTACCTGGGTTGCGGGCACATCCCCAGTAGGAGGTGTGCAGGAGGCAGCTGGTCGATGTTTCTCTCTCATCGATGTTTCCAACTCTCTCTCTCTCTCCCTTCCTCTCTGTAAAAAATCAATAAAATATATTTTAAAAAAATATCAAATCCAAATCAACTAAAAACTGCTGATATTCAAAATTCTGTGTAATAGTACCTTTGGGATATGGCTAAAGCAGTACTCAGGAAGATTCATAAATTACTAAGCAAGAAAAAATGAAAATAGAATAATTCAGCCCAAAGAAGTTACAAAAAATAATAAATGAAAAGCAAACAGAAAGTTTATCACCTCTGGCCATTGTGGCTTGGTTGGGTGACATCCCACGCACCAGAGGTTGCCAGATTGATTCCATGCCCAGGTTGCAGCTTGATCCCTGGTGTGCAGGAGGCAGCTGATCAATAGTTCGCTCAAACATCGATGTTTTTCTCTCCCTCCTCCCTTTCTCTCTTTCTAAAAATCAATAAGAGAACGTATTATCAAAGATAAAAGCAGCAATTGATGAATTAGAAAACATACATGGAGATACTAGTAACTCCAAGAGATTTTGGTTCTTTGTGTTTTTATTTTAGAGGATACTGGGGAAAAAACAAAAAACATGAAACAGCCTCCTATTGAACCTGTCCTGAACAAAGGGAGAAATCACAAATATCACATATGTGAATTAATACACTGAATATGAGAAAAAATCATACATATTTAGGAAATTAAATGTAAGAGGTCATATTGCTAGTGTATGGGGATAAATGTGAAAACCTGATTCACTATGAAAAAGCAGTACTCAGCCCAGCAGTTCTAAGGAACATCATAACTGCAGTGCTTTTTAACTTGCTCAAGAACATAGAAAAAGAGAAAAATTTTCTAAATTATTTTTTGAAATATTTATTGATACCAAATTCTGGCAAAGCACACAAACAGAAAATTTAGACCTTTCTCCTACTACAGAAATCTTAAATATTAGCAAGTGTAATTCAACAACACATTAAGATAATAATACATAATGACCAAGTTGCTTTCATCCTAGGACTGTAAGAAGAGTTCAGTGTCAGAAAATAATAAACACCATATTTTTAAAAGTATGAAAGAGAAAAATGATCATCTTCCCCAGAAGCTGAAAAAGAATTTGGTAACATTAATCATTAATTCTGAGGTTTTTTAAAAAATAGGACAACTTACTAAAATAGGAATTAATTGATAACTTTCTTAACATAATAGGAAATCATGTTAAAAGTCAACATTATTACCTTGGCGGTGTGGTTCAGTTGGTTGAGTGTCATGCAGTATACCATAAGGTTGCCGGTTCAGTACCCAGTTGGGGCACATACTCAGGTTGTGGGCTAGATCCCTGAGAGGGGGTGTGGGGGAGGCAGCTGATTATGTTTTGCTCTTGATCTTTTTCTCTCTCTCTCTCAAAATCTGTAATTTTCATTTGTTCATTGTTTAACATGTATGAGGCACAGTACTTGGTGTGTTGCATGCTCTATCATTTGATCCTTGGAGCAGCTTGATGATAACATAGCTACTGTTATTATCCCTATTTTACAGATGAGAAAACTGAGGTTAAATGACTTGTTCAGGATAACAAAGTAAGTCCAGATTCTGAACTTGAGCAAATATATCTTCCGACTCCTGAAGCATTTATGTGTCTTGCCATTCACTCGTATAAGGAATTTCATATTGAGTTTAGTAAAGGAGAGAGTATTTTTTGAGGCTTTCTGTAGCTGGTATCTAAGCTGCTCTATCAAGCTATGTGGGTGACGTAGAGAAAGGGTGTTAGACCACATCGGCCCACTGCAATCCTACTTGACAGATTAGTTGATTCAATTTCATTGTAGACTATGTGGTCTTATCCTATATAATAAAAGGCTAATATGCAAATCGAACCACAGAACGACCAGTCGCTATGACATGCACTGACCACCAGGGGGCAGATGCTCAACGCAGGAGCTGCCCCCTGGTGGTCAGTGCGCTCCCACAAGGGGAGCACTGCTCAGTCAGAAGCCAGGCTCACAGCTGGCGAGTGCAGCGGCGGTGGTGGGAGCCTCTCCCACCTCCACAGCAGCACTAAGGATGTACCACTCACGGCTTAGGCCCACTCCCCAGGGGTCGTCAGTCAGATATCCCCTGAGGGATCCCCCGACCCCTCAGTGCACGAATTTCATGCACCAGGCCTCTAGTAATATATGAATTCTACTGCTGGAACTTTGTGTTTAGAGAGGTATGAGTAGTGTGTCCTTTCTTCCATTTCTTACTAAACCTCCAAAGACTCATAAACCATGATTATTATTCTATTTATTTTAATTGGGAGTGCCATATAGTACCAAGAACTGAACTGAGTGGTGGAAGTGTGGTTGGGTGATTAGTCTTTGGGCTCAAGAAGTTTATAGTTTAGATGGTCTAAGTGAGGGGGAAGATTAGAGGGAAAATTACTTTTTTAAAAACAGGAATTTGCTCTTTTTTAAATTTCATAAAAACTTTTGTTATAAATTGCCAAACACTTGTCAACCTATCAAAAAATCTAGACTTTCTGAGGGAAGTTTGAGGTCCATCGGCATTGTAAAGAGATTCGGGTTCTGAAAATAGGTATAGCCTGTAAGTAGCAGTAATGAGATGAAAAGACCTTATGGCATTTGTTTGGTGGAAAACCCCTACCTGTTTTGAGGTATTTCCAAAACTTAACCAGAGGAGAAGTTATTTAGTTCAGTTTGGAGGGGTAAGGTAACAATATTTTATGCCTCTTATTACTTTAATTCAGTATTGGGACGTTGGATTACAATGAAGAATCCATCCCATTAGAAGGGTGATTATCATAGTATTTTACATCTGAGGTGAGCAAACTTCGTTTATTTCACTTTTGTTAACTAGGCCTTTTGATATTTTTATAGACAATCTGCTTCATCTTGATTCTGCAGCATTCCAAAGTGTGGTATCCTTGGGGTTCTCTTAACATTGCTATGGTGCAGAAGATTTAAAATCAGGTATGGCTCTGGGGCCAGAAGTCGCTTAATGAAATTCTCAACTTAAATCTGCCTTATACTCTCTGATTTATCATTTGGGTTTCTTTTTTTTTTTTTTGTGGTGGTCTTTTAGCTGATGTTCACAAGGAATAGAGTCACGTGATGTATGAAGGGAAACATATACACTTCTCTGAGGTTGACAATAAGCCCTTGTGCTCATATAGCCCCAAACTGTGCAAGCAGCGGCGACTCAACGGCTACGCTTTCTGTATCAGACACGTTCTGGAGGACAAGACTGCCCCCTTCAAGCAATGTGAATATGTGGCCAAGTATAACAGCCAACGCTGCACCAACCCCATCCCCAAATCAGAGGATCGTAGGTAAGAGCTGGTAATGGGACTCAACCTTTGATTTAATTAGGCTGGGATTTTTCTTTTTCTTGTCCTTTTTTCTTTAGATACAGTGAATGTAAAGGCTGCTTTCCTGGAGTATTCTAACTAAACTTTGAAATGGTTCTAAAGATGAGAGATTGGTAATTTAAGAAAAGGGAATAGTAAATTTGGGGAATCATTTGAAAAGTATGTTTCAGTATTTTCTTTTTATATTGATTTAATAGACTTGCTAGGATTACGTTAGAAACTGTTGCTTGAAATCTTAGTACTGATATATTTAGTTTACAGCCTTATAAAGTGTTTCTGACTTGTCATTTGCCTAAATGAGAAAAATTATAGGAACTACTTAGGTGTTGTAAGTAATGATAGTAATTTTGGAACTTTAAAATCTGTGCTTGAAAGGTAGAAAAGGGTAAGTATTTATTGAAAAAGGGTTATTCAAAAGAATGATTACTTGAATCATTCAGATGTACTTTTTTTTTCCGATGTACTTTTTATCAGACTTCTTTTTGGTTAAAAAGAATTCCATATAGAGTATGTTTACTATAAATTAGAAACTGTATTTTCATAGTATGAGTGGCTGTTATCACTAGAATTATGAATTTATGCTTTGCTGAATTAAAAATAATAATACAGGAAGGTGTTTTAAAGAAGTCTTATGCTGGTTATTCATCTTTCATATTTTAGGAAAATTCACACTTGATATCACATATGATCTCTTTTTCTTCAGTTCTACAGAAACAGTATTGATCATTGTAGATTATTACAATGAGGGGTGCATGCTTATTTTATAAGAAAGTTTCAAATATTTGTTATCTTTAGGTAGAAACTTTGAACTTTTTACTTTTCTTTTAGAGGTAAAAAGTTCATCCTTGTTCCCATACATAAGCAGATGTCACCTGCATAAAAAGGGTTGAAAAGGAATATGTATTTTATATTCAGAGTGAGCAATTTTTACCCTTTTAGGGTGAAATAAATAATTTGTGTTGATAGAGATCCCACCAAAATGAGTATAGTATAATGTGGTGATTTGGGAATACTCTGTTAGAATTTCTAATGAGCACTTAAGGCGTCAAATTACAATACCCGAAAGTTAGAAACAGCTGCCTAGTGAGGCAAGGAATAAAATTTTAATCTCAGGTGAGAAAGGGACCACTGTATTAGGATAAACATATCTGTCCATTTGGTTTTAGCAGACTGAAAATGGTAATTTCTTACCCCTGCCCTTTTTAAACTTAAAGAATGCAAGGACTTGGATTAATTTTTTACTTCGAGCTCCATTATAAATACATTTCTATAATTTTGTCTTAAATTCCATTTTTCACAGTTGTGATTGTTAACCTTGGATTTTTTTAAAAAATTCAGCTGAAGCAAGTGTTATAGCTTACAGCAAGCAGTAAAGTGAGTCACTTCGAATTTGTCCAAAATATTCTGTGAAGCATATGCCTTCACCTTTATATACTAAGAAATTTCCTCTTTTTAGAACAAGATAAGGGAAAGGATTTTTGTGTTGCTCTGTCAAGAGAAGCTACTTCTTTTTTCAAAATTGGTCCAAGAACATATGAATATATCTATATATATATCCTTACCCAAGGATATTTTTTCCATTGATTTTTTTTAGAGAGAGTGGAGGGAAGTGGAGAGAGGGAGAGAGACACATCGATTGGTTACCCCACTCACTTGTACTTGCCTCCACTAGGACCAGGAATCGAATTTGCAACCCAGGTACGTGCCCTTGACCAGGAATCAAACAAATGACCCTTCAATCCATAGGCCAATGCTCTAACCACTGAGAAAAACTGGCCAGGGCTATAATTTGGGGGTATTGATATTTTTGTTTGTAGGGTTGTTTGAAAATAGAATTAAAGTAGACTTTAACACAGGTAATATTCTTATGTTACCTCAAGAATTCCAAGTTGAATTTATGTAATAATAATATCTTGACTGGTGTATAAATATTGATAGTTGTAACTATACTATTGTAGAAAAGATTAATATTTTGAAAATGTATTTTTTGCCGAACCGGTTTGGCTCAGTGGATTGAGCGTCGGCCTGCAGACTCAAGGGTCCTGGGTTCAATTCCGGTCAAGGGCATGTTCTTTGGTTGCGGGCGCATCCCCACTGGGGGGCGTGCAGGAGGCAGCTGATCTATGTTTCTCTCTCATTGATGTTTCTAGCTCTCTATCCCTCTCCCTTCTTCTCTGTAAAAAATAAATAAAATATATTTTAAAAAAAGAAAAAAGAAAATGAATTTTCATTATTATTGATGCAGTTACTACTTGGACACCTAGGTATTTGAGATGGTTTATATATTGTTTTAGAAAAAAAAATTTTAAGGATTTTTTTTCTCATTGATTTTTTTTAGAGAGAGTGGAAGGGAGGAGAGACAGAAATATCGATGTGAGAGAGACATATCTATTAGTTGCCTCCCACACATACCCCAACAGGTGCTGGGGATTGAGCCCGCAATTGAGGTATGTGCCCTTGATCGGAATGAAATGCCGAACCTTTCAGTCAGCAGGCTGATGCTCTATCCACTGAACCAATCCAGCCAGGGCTCAAGGATTTTTAATGGACAAAATTATCTGGTTGGTGGTCAGCTAGAGGAAGCTTCTTGATATCAGTGTCTAGCTTATCTGGTGTTTATTATAAATGCTAACTTATGGGTTCCAGCTGTTTGAAATAGAATAGTATTATATGCTCAGTAGAAGTAATGGTATAATTAAAAGGTAAAAATCATTTTCTAAGCTAGGGCTCATTATTGTAGCCTTTGTTTCAGAGATCATGGTTATATTAAGTTGATTATTTTATATAATATTTTAAATTTAAGCTTGCTATAATTTATACACACACACACACACACACACACACACACATATATATATATATTTTACTAGTATGTATATATTAGCCAGGAAAACTCATTATCTATATGTTTATTTTCTAAAACAGTTTAAGATAAAATTTACATCCCATATGTTTACCCATTTAAAGTATATAACTCAGTATTTTTTAGTATATTCACAGGGTTGTGCAACTGTCACCACAGTCTAATTTTACATTTTCTTCCCCCCAGAACCCCATTAAGCAGTTACTAATTCTTTTAGACTAGAAATTCACATTTGCCCACTTATTTTAAATGCTAGTAAGCTGTTCTAGGTGTGAAGAGGTGGAGGTTTAGGAGTTCTGACTGTTGTGATAGTGCCGCCAGCGTGGCTGCAGTGCGTGCAGAGCGAGGCTGAGGGAGTACTGTTCATGCATCAGTCTCTGCTGTGTTACACAATGAAGCACATAGTGGCCTCATTTACCAGTTCAGGCTGCCCACATGTCAATGACCAGGAAAGTCTGATTTGTAAATTAAAAAAACAACCCATCTATTTTTCTTCACTAAAAAAACTAATCCATTTGTCAATTTGAAAGTGAGTTGAAAACAACAAAACCTTTATTCTATACTAGAGTCCCAGTGCATGAAATTCATGCACAGGTAAGGTCCCTAGGCCTGGCCGGTGATCAGGGCTGATTGGGGCCTTCCTTTGTTCCACACCACCACCTGGTGGTCAGTGCATGTCATAGTGAGCGAGTGAACTCCGGTCTCTCTGTCGAACTCCTGAGGAGACAATTTGCATATTAGGCTTTTATATAGAGAGATTGGGAAGCTTCTACAGTTACTACAGTTATCCCTGAAGCCCTTCCTCTTGTTAGCCAGCTTTATGAATCTGTTCTCTGTGTGTGTAGAACATACAGTGGACACTTGACATTCTTAAGGATTACATCATAAGATCTTTTTTTAAAAAATTGATATGTTAATTTGACAGACAAATTGGTTGAAAAAATTGATTCATTTATTTGAGAGAGAGAGAAATTTGTTGTTCCACTTACTTATGCTTTCATTGGCTGATTCATGTATGTGCCCTGACCAGGGATCAAACCCGAAACCTTGGAGTATCAGGAGGACTCTCTAACCAACGTATGGGCTGGGGCCCATAAGATCTTTATGAATTTCTAAATACTTGAATGGCTTTAGAACACATATTTTTTCTCCGTAGAGAATTTTAAGTGACTCTTATGAGTTACTCTGTTTGCTATGAATACAGGATAAAAAAGTGGTCTGAGAAGCAATAGCTGGGCCACCCAGTATTTGAGTGACTTTTGTCTGGCGGCCTCTGCATGTGTACAGTCACATATTTGCTTCAGCAAAATTGCCAGACTTTGAGGATTGCTTCAGAGGAGTGTAAGTTGCATGTATGAAATTCATCAATGTCAAGAGTTACTCTAATCATGCATTTTTAACATATTAGGATTCATATTTTATAAAATGTAGTTTTATATTTTGCTTTTCTTAATATATATCATGAACATTTTCCCATGTATGTTTCTGTTTTTAAAGGTACTGCAACAGCCACTTGCAGGTACTTGGCTTTATCCCGAAAAAAGAGAGGAAGAAAAAGAATGATCCTATAGATGAGGTAAAGGGCAGGCACCAGATGGATACCATGGCCTTTAGCCTGGCGGTGCCCACGTTGGCCTTGAAGATGCCCAATGGACTGGACAGCATGTCCCTCTCTCCACCGGGGGCAAGGGTCCCTCTCCACTACCTGGAAACCGAGTTGGAAGACCCGTTCGCTTTCAACGAGGAAGATGATGACCTAAAGAAAGGGGCAACCGTGAGAAAGAAGTTGCAGAGCAAGTTGGCCCAGAATCGTCAGCGCCAGAGAGAGACAGAGATTTTAAAAGTTCGGCAAGAGCACTTTAGTCCCCCTCCTGCACCTTCCCAGCAGCAGCCTCCGCAGCAGCACTCCAGCCTGTCACCTTTACCCGCGCCTGTCAAACCTCCAGCGCCACCGCAGGGCTTAGTCTGCAAGTCACCTCAGCCTCCGAACACCAGCCTACCACTGCAGGGAGTGGCCTCCACCACGCACACTATAGCACAAGCGAGGCAGTGGTCTCACAAGAGGCCTCTGCCCCTCCTGCCATCCAGTAGGGCTCCTGTCGTGGACCCGCCCAGGACTGACCGGGTCCTTATGAAAGCCACAGCCTTCTCTCCACACTTCTCTTGTATAAGTCGACTGCAGAGACTGGTGAAACTGTGCACTCAGAAGCATCAGTTGGACACTGATCTGTTTCCCCATTTGGGTGAGTTATCTGTTTTACCATATCATATATGTGTAAGACAACAAAGTGTGCCCTTTTGCATGAGGCTTTATTATATGCTGCTGGAGAGGGTAATACTTGGTGAGCAGGATACAGAGAAAGGAGTTGGGAGTTTAGAATCCCAGTCATAGCTTGTAATAGTAGTAGTGGCGGCAGCAGCAGCTGCAATAGTAAAAGGCAGTTGTGTTTGATTGCATGCCTCTGTGGTCTCAGTACCTGTGTGTCCAGTGAAGTTCTCCACATGTCTTATTGTAGGACTTTGGAATAATGAGAGCATTGTTAATATCTGCCAACAGTTTAAAAGTAAACTTGAAAAAATTCCCAAAGCAATTAGTGTTTATGCTTAAGAAAATCTCTTTGATCCCAAGTTTATAAAGATATTCTATATTTTATATTAATAGTTTGATTATTTTTGATCATTTAAATCTTTAACTCATTTGGAATTTATTTTTGAATGTGGTATGAGCTGTGATTCTGACCGGAGGAAAAATTATTTGCATGAGATGACAGCAATAGAAAAATGGGGAAAGGATGGGAATAGAGGAAGAAGAAATATAAGTGGTCAATAAATAAATCTCAAACCCCAAAGCAGGCAGGAAATGCAAATTAAAGTAATAATGAATTCTCATCAGATTGGCAAAAATTGTACCCAGTGTTGATGAGGACATGGGATCTCAGACATTGCTGGTAAGGAGCATTACAGTATTTGCTAAGTCAAAGTGTATGTACAGCCAGCAACCTTGCTTTAGGGATTCTGTCTTATGGATCACAATAATCAGAATGTAAGGATCTGTGTTCAAAGATGTTTATTACAGCATTGCTTGTAATATTAAAAATCTGCAAACAGTCTTTATAACCAATAGGAAACCTGGAGTAAATTATGATGCATCTATGTTTTTGAAGTATTATGCAGCTCATAGAAAGAATGAATGAAATCTATATTTTTACCTAGCTGTGCCCATGATATGTATTAACAAGTAGAAAAAAATCAAGAGGCTTTGTATAGTATCTTATTTTTGTAAAAATAAATAAACAAGGGACATCAATATAAGTGTTGCTGGAGTATATAGATAGATGTTTGCCTATTAGGTGTGAGTATAGGTCAAGTGCGAGTGGATATACACTGCTGAGCTGTTAACCTTGGCTGCCACAAGCAGATGGAGTGGACAGGGTGTGTTTTTAAGTAGCTGGGAGATGTTTCTCCTATTACTAAACCATGTATGACTTTTGTTTATTAAAAAAATAAACAAAACTTAAAATATATAAACAAAAATAATAAAATGCCCAAATATCATTAAATTGGGTTCCTGCTATACGTAGTTTTGTAATTTTTAAAAATTTTGGTAATGTATTACCAATTAGTAATTTTTCATACACAACATAATTTGTCACAGCTGAATACCTTTTCTAATTTAAGTAACATCCATTATAAATTGTTGTAGCTGTATAGCCTTGCAGTAAAACAATTAGTCATATCTTTAATTTTTCCTTCAAATAAGTTCCTAGAAGCAGAATTGCTGATTCCAAGCTTTTGCATTCTTTTTTTTTTTTTAATATATTTTTATTGATTTTTTACAGAGAGGAAGGGAGAGGGGTAGAGAGTTAGAAACATCGATGAGAGAGAAACATCGATCAGCTGCCTCCTGCACATCTCCTACTGGGGATGTGCCCACAACCCAGGTACATGCCCCTGACCGGAATCGAACCTGCGACCCTCCAGTCCGCAGGCCGACGCTCTATCCACTGAGCCAAACCGGTGTCGGCCAAGCTTTTGCATTCTTAAAGAGGTTTTTGATAGGTGCTGCCAAATTTTCCTTCAGAATTTTGTCAGTTTACCCATTTGGCAATAAATGAGAATGACACCTTCTCTGTATCTTTATAGCATAGGTATTAGATAATATTATTATTAATGCTATTGCAATTATTTTATGTTTGCAATTTTTATAGAAATTTTACTTTAATTTGCATAACTTAGATCAGTGTTTCTCAAATTTTGGGCCTTAAGATCCCTTTACCCTCTTAAAAATTATTGAGGACAACATAGAGCTTTGGGTGAGTTATATCTATTGATATTTACTGAATTAGAGGTTGATACAGAAGTTTAAAAATAACTCATTTAAAAATAAACTCACCACATGTTAACATGTTCTTTTTATGAAAAATAGCTATGCTTTCCAAAACAAGTATCATGTGAAGAGCAGCCTTGTTTTACAAATCCGACTATCTGATCTACTAGAAGACAGTTAGATTCTCATATTTCCTTCTGTATGTAGTCTGTCGTTATATGCAGTTTTGGTTAGTAGATGAAAATGTGTCCTTACACATTTGGAAAAGGGAGGAATCTTTAATAGTTTTTTTTTTTTCAAATAATTGTGCATATTCTTATTTGATTCTACACCAAAACTTGGTGTTAATTTCTTTAAAAGTAGTTATAATGTGGAATCTGCTATCAAATCAAGGAATTTTACATACCGTTACATTAAAATCCATTGATTTACCTTGTACTTGAATGGATCATTTTAAAAATATATATTTTTTATTGATTGATTGATTTAAGAGAGAGAGAGGGAGGGGAAGAGAGAAAAATATTGATTTGTTGGTTGATTCTTGTTGTGCCCTGACTAGGGATTGAATCCAAAACCTTGGATATGGGTACCATGCTCTACCCAGCTCATTATGTAAAAACTAGAGACCTGATGCACAAAATCTGTGCAAAAGTAGACCTTCCTTCCCCTGGCTGCTGGCACCAGCTTCCCTCTGGCACCCAGGACCCGGGCTTCCTTCACAGCCCCAGCTTCATCTGGAAGGACATCTGATCTAAATAGCATTTTATCCTTTTATTATTATAGATTTAAAATTACCACCAATTTCATCAGAAAAGTCTGTTAGGAAGTTGTCATACTCTCAGTCAGGGGTCCTCAAACTACAGCCCGTGGGCCACATGCGGCCCGCCGCAAACATTTATCCAGCCCGCCCGGTGTTTTTTGCCGCC